GGCCATCACAGAGGAGAAACAGTTCATGCCATAGCAGGCATGAGGCAACAAAAGCAGCAAGCAGCAAAGCAGAGAGCCACCCTTTCCCTTTTATACTATTCAGGCTACAAGCCTTTTGGGTGGTGGCACCCATACCCGTGGTGAGTCTTCCCATTACCCACACCCAGGACCGTGATAAACCAATTAGTTTTTATTTTTATTTTCATTGTTTTGGTTGGGGGGGGGATTGAACTCAGGTCCTTGCTCTTGTGAGGCAGGCGCCAGAACCACTGAGCTAAATCCTAGCCGATAAACCAATTAGTGCACTAATCTAGTACCACACACCCTTAATCCCAGTATAATACCCTTAATCCACATTCACACACCCTAGATGCAGCCACCTTTGACAAGCTCCCCCATATGACCACAGGAGGCTTTGGGGAGGCATCTAGATTCAAGTCATAACAGATGCAAAGATCCTCAATAAGATATAGCAAACAGAATGCAGCAAATCATCAAAAAGATTTTACCTCATGACCAAGGAGGGCACATTTCAGGGATGCAGGGGTGGCTCAAGACATGCAAATCAATAAATATAGCACACCACATAAACAGAAGCAAGGACAAAAATCACATAATCACTTCACTAGAGGCAGAAAAAGCATCTGATAAAACCCAACATCCATTCATGATAAAAACCCTGAAAAAAATAGGAATAGAAGGTCTTTATCTTAATCTAATAAAAGCCATCTATGTCAAACCAACTGCCAACATCACACTGAACAGAAAGAAGCTGAAAGCTTTCCCTCTAAAAATCAGGAACGAGACAAGGATGTCCACTACCATCACTGCTGTTCAATATAGTTCTCAAATCATCTGGATAGGAAAGGAAGAAGTTGAGTTATCATTATTTGCAGATGACATGATCCTCTACATAGAAGACCCCAAAACTCCACCAAAGGACTCATAGAATTAAAAACCAAATTTAGTCATGTAGCAGGATACAAAGTCAACACTCAAAAATCAAGTGTTCCTGTACACCAATAACACACTCACCGAGAAAGAAATTAGAGAAACAACAATAGTATCAAGAAAAATGAAATACTTAGAAATTAACCCAATCAAGGAAGTGAATGACCTTTTCATGAAAACCATGGTATGGTGAAAAAGATCAAAAAGGATATGAGAAAATGGAAAGATATCCCCTGTTCCTGAATGGACAGAACCAATATAGTCAAAATGGCCATACTTTCAAAACTGTTATACAGATGAACACAATCCAATCAAAATACTAATACCATTCCTTACAGAACTACAGAAGCAATCCTAAAATTCATATGGAACTAAAAGAGACCTAGAAGAGCAAAAGCAATTCTAGACAACAAGGGCAAGAGGGCATCATGATCTCAAATTTCACATTATACTACAAAGCTGCAGTGATAAAAATAGTATGGTACTGGGGAGTACCCCCTCCCCCCAAACAGACTTGTGGATCAATGGAACAGAATAGAGGATAATGCCGAAATAACTCCAGGCAAACTATGCTACCCTATCTATTGCTGGAAGAAAGATAGCCTCTTTAACAAATGGTATTGGGAAAACTGGCTACCAAATACTGAATATTGAAACTAGGTCCATATCTTTCACCATGCACTAAACTAAAGCCAAATGGATCAAAGATCTAAACATTAGAATAGAAACACTTAATCTGCCAGATGACAAAATAGGTAAAATACTTCAAGACATAGGTGTAGGCAAAGACTCTGAACAGAACCCTGATTGTACAAGAAATAGTACCAAGAATCAACAAATGGGATTGCATCAAATTAAAAAGCTTACTCTTTTTTTGTTTCGTTTTTTTGAAACAGGTCTCGCTGTGTAGTTCAGGCTGGTCTTGAACTCATTATGTAGCCCAGGCTGGCCTTGAACTCACAGTGATCCTCTTGTCCCAGCCTCCTGACTGCTGGGATTACAGGTGTGCGCCACCATGCCCAGCCTTAAAAAGCTTCTGCACAGTAAAGCAAACCACTAACAGAGTGAAGAGACAACCTACAAAAAGTAAAAACTAGCTATTCCTCAAAGGATTAATATCTAGAGTATATAAATCACTCAAAAAATTACCTCCCCCCAAATTTAAGACCCAGTCAAAACATGGGTATCTGAAAATGAATAGATACTTCTCAGATGAAGATGTACAAATGGTCAATAAATACACAAAAAACTGTTCAACATTGCTGTCCATTTGAGAAATGTAAATGAAAGCTACACTGAGATTCCATTGCACTCCAGAAAGAATGGCTATCATCCAGAAATTAACCAATAACAATGCTGGCAAGGTTGTGGGGGAAAAAGGAACCTTTCTTCATTGTTGGCGGGAGTGTAAACTAGTACAACCACATGGAAATCAGTATACTAAAATAGAAATTCCAGATATTACTCTTCTAGGTATCTTCCCAAAAGTTAAACACATCATACCACAGTGATGTATGTATACCCGTTTTTACAGCTGCACAATTCATAATAGCTAAATATTGGAAGTAGCCTATATGTCCATCAACAGATGAATGGATAAAGAAATTGTGGTATTTATGCACAATGGATTACTACTCTGCCATAAAAAAGGATAAACTTGAGTCATTTGTAGGAAAATGGATGCACCTTCCCTCCCTCCCTTGCTTCCCATCTTCCTTCCTTTCTCTTCCCCTCTCTCTCTCTTTCTCTCTCTCTCTCTCTCTGTCTGTCTCTTTCAAATGGGGTCTCACTTTGTAGTGCAGGCTGGCCTCAAACTCACTATGTAGCCCAGGCTGGCCTCAAACTCAATGGCCATCCTCCTGCCTCAGCCTCCTGAGTGCTGAGATCACAGGTGTGTGCCACCACACCTGGTGATAACTAACTTTATAAGGACTTATAAGGTAAATAAATGAATCTGATATTAGCAAAAATGGGAGTTAGAGGGGAAGCAGAGAAAAAGAATTGAAATGTGTTATGTACATGTACCAATTCCCTACAATGAATGTAATCATGTACTAATAAAAATTTTAAAAAGAGAAGGCCTTTTAAATTTATACATATTTTTGCTTCCTAATATTTTGATATTCCTTCTTTTATCATTTTCTTTCTCTTTAAAGAACTCTACTACCCACTCTTTTAGGGTAATCTGGCAACAAATTCTTAATTTTTCTTCATCTGAGAATCTTGACATTCTCTTCATTTCTGAAAGATATTTTTGCACTTCTAAGATTGCTGATAAGAAATGTGCCATTTGAATTGCTTCCCCCCCACATATATGCTAGTATTTCTTTCTCTTTTCTTTTTTGTCTTTAGTATGCAGAGGTTTAGCTATGATGTGTCATGGTGTGGATTTCTTTAGGTTTATCCTCTTTGGGGGTCTTCTTGGCTTCTTAATCTGTGGGTTTATTCACTTGGCCAAAATTGGCCATCCATTATTTCTTCAAGTACTTTTCTTGCCCTGCCCTCCTTCTCCTTTCCTTCCGGGATTCTGATGACATAAATATTAAATCCTCTGTCATAGTCCCGTAAGCTCCTCAGGCTCTGATCATTTTCGTTTGTTTTTGGTTTCCTTTTTCTCTCTTGTCCAAATTGTGTAATTTTTATGGTTCTTTCACTTCACCGGTTCTTTCCTCTGTCTTCTCTAATCTGATGTTAAGCCCAACCATAGAAGTTTTCCCCCCAGTGCTGGGGATTGGACTCAGGGCCTTGTGCATGCTAGGGAAGCTCTCTTCCACTGAGGTACAACCCAGTGGGACTATGATTTTTTAAAAAATCCAGTTCTAAAATTTCTTTTAAAAAGTATTTTCATATTTCTTTTATACTTTTTTTTTTTTAAACAGTACGCTCTGGTTTTTCTTTTTTACCTTCTATTTCTTTTTTTTGTTGTTTTCTTGGTACCAGGGATCAAACTGAGGACCTTGTGTTTGCCAGGCAGGTGGCGGCACCACTGAGCTAAATCCCTGGCCCTTACCTTCTATTTCTTTGCTGAGACATTCTATTTTTTCATTTGTTTCAAGCATGCTTATAATTGCTCACTGAGGCATTTTTCTGATATGTTGCTTTAAAATCTTTTCCAGTTATATCTAAATTTCTGTCTTCTCAGAGTTGGCACTGCCTTTCCTCATGCTGTTTGAGATCTTCCTGGCTATTGGTATGGTAGATGTCAGGTGCTTGGACACTAACATGTTGAAAAATTTTGTCCCATCCAGTCCTCTGGCACCACCTGGCTGGGAGGGGCCTTGCTACCCATAGCTCTCTGTGTGAAGCTGAGTCCAAATCCCGCTCTCAGTCTTCTGCTGGCCGGGCTGGGCCACAGCATTCTGTGGAGTTTGGATGGTGCAGGCAGCTGATGTCTATAGGCACTGGCTTTTTCTTGGTCCTCTGGCTAGACAGACAAACCTTTGTGGGGCTTCCTTTATCTCTACCCACCCAAATTTCCTAGGTCTCAATGCATGAGGCAGAAGAAATCGCAGGGCTCCTGTGCCCTACTCTGTGCTCCTCCATGGAGACCTCACGCTGCCTCTCCTTTCCCCTGTGGTGAATCAAAGCTGCTTAGAGGAGATGGGACAGGTATCCTCCAGCTCCTAGAGTAGAAGTTCCTCTTAGTTCTGAATGTAACTTATTTCACTATGATTAAAGTTTATAAAATCCATTATGTTTTAGTGACGGCTATATTTGGTAAGTGCCTTGTGCTCGCTTTGGCAGCACATATATTAAAATTGGAATGATAAGTGCCTTGCAAGTGTTTCTGAAATTTAGACCTCAGCCCTCCTAAATCAGGAGGGAAGCTCCAGAATACATGACTCATCCTGCCCAGGGAAACTTCACCAGGACCACACCTGCCACTGTTGGAGGAGGCACTGTTCATGGCCATCTTCCAGGCAGAGCTTAGGCTCTGGACATAGGTGCTGATTTGGGGACCCATCACTCCCCTGGCCCAATAGACAGAAGAGGACATGGGTACCACTGAGGCTGGGGCACAGAGACTCAAAGAAAAGAGGGTTGGTTACCTTTTCTGTCACCAGCTTTTCCTCTGCCACCTCGGGAGCCAGAAAGAATGAATTGCAGGAGCCTAGGAGAGAAAACTGTCTTAGTTTCTTTCAGCTGTGGCCAGCTGATGCTAGAACTCAGTCCCTAGGGTGACTCCAGGTACATACCGTTGTCAGGGGGCGGCCCGAAGAACACAGTTCCATCCTTAGCCACCAGGACGTTGTCCAGGCACAGGCAGGCTACAACAGAGTGTGAGTCAGGAACTAGCTTGGCCTGCACACCTTGCACAGGGCAGGGCTCCCTCTAGCATCACCCAGGGGACACCAGAGCATGGGTCCTGTGCTGGCCTTGCATCCTCCCTTCAGAGGCCTGGCAGAGTGTCCAAGAGTGGCCAGGTATGGGCTCTTTACCCCACCAGGCATAGCTGCCCTGGAGACCAACATCACCTAGCAATATTAACCCTGTCACACTGAGAATGAAAAGGAGGAGAAGAAAGTGTCCACACTATGAGCCAGGGACAGGGCAGGGCAGTGTCCACTGTGGGTGAGAGGTGTGTGGTCAACACTGTAACTGTCCCTGGGGAAAGGTGAGTCTGGGGGAGCCCGGGAACCCCACTGTCCCTCCTCAGGTCTCAAATCCCATTCTGACTCAGGCCCCAGGGGTGGCTTAGAAGCAGCTCCTCACTGGAGCCAGATGGCAATGTTTCTCTGATTCTCTGGCCAGGCTTGTTAGAGCTGTCTTTGTTACTACTATGGCAGTGTGAAACCATAAGTGAGCCACCCATTTGTCCTACTGTCTGGCACATGAAGCTCAGGGGGACCACAAACCAGTGCAACATCTAATATTCCTGCCCCCAGCTCCCAAACCAATGTTGACATCCCTGGGAACAATGTTACCTCCACTGAGAATGTGTGGGCTGGAGCTATCCCAGTCCTCTTTATAGCAGGGGTCATCCGATTTAGGCCCATAGATAACGGGTATGCCCATTGCATTCCCTGTACTGACATCAGAGGAGCTTTCAATGGGCAGGCTGGGCCTCTGCTCCTTGCTCACAGCATAGACAGTGCCTCCTACCCCATTCCTGGCTCATAGTGTGGACACTGCCCCTCTCATAGTGTGGACACTACCCCTCTTTCCTGCCTCACAGTGTGAATGATGACCTCTGCTCCAGGTCACAGTGTGGACACTGCCCCCACCACCCAGCATTACTCTGCTGGCCCTGGCCCAACTCAGATGGGCAGGTGATACCCATCACCTGGGTGCTCTGTATGCTTCTGCAGTGCACTGAGGCAGGTGAGGCACAGGGCCCAGAGCTCGTACTCCCTGAAGGGCCGGCCCAGCTTGGATAGGAGGTCCTGCAGGGAGAGGCACTGTGGGAGAGAGAGAAGTGTCATGTGAGAACGCCACTACCCTGCCTGACACCCGGGAAGGACTTCGATGGAGGGTGATAGGTATGAACCCTTTTAGTCACTGCCCCAGCATTCCAGCTAGAAGAGACATGAAAGTATACAAGTCAAAGCAAGTGTGGATAAGGGTGTGGGGAAACTGGAGCCCTTGCATACTGTTGGTTGGAATATAAAAGGGTGCATCTGCCATAGAAAATGGCAGTTCCTCAAGAAACAAAACAGGGAATTATCCTATGATCTAGCAATTTCACTTCTGAGAACATACTAAAAAAACCTGACAGTAAGGACTGGGAAAATATTTTTCCACCCATGTTAAAGGCAGCATCATTTATATGGAGCAACCTATGCATGTGTGGATGGATAGATAAATAAAGAATGTGGTCTATCCATACAAGGAAATATTTCTCAGCCTTAAAAAAGATGGAAATACTGACACATGACTTAATACGGTTGAAAATTGAGGGCATCATGCTGAGTGAAATAAGATAGCGACAAAAGGACAAATACTGTGTGATTTCACATATGAAGCACCCTGGAATTGTCACATCCATAGAGACAGACAGTGGGTCTGGGGAGAAGGGAGGAGTCAGTGTTTGGCGGGCACAGAGTTTCAGTCTGGGAAAGTGAAAGAGTTCTGGAGATGGACGGTGGTGACTGGTGAAGGCTGCATGACAATGTTAATATCCTTAATTTACTGAACTGTTCATGTAAAGATGGTGAATTTTATGCTATGTGTGTTTTAAAACACATACATGCACACGAACAACACACACTGAAGCTGAAGTAGAAAGAACTCATGGAGCCTGGAAGATAGTTCCTCCACTCTAAGACCATGTGGAGAGCTGAGAATAAAGCCATCATCTAGGGTCTTAGAAGACCCAGGTTCCATACTTTAGTGGAAAGTTCCAGAGATCAGTGCCTTCACCCAAGACCTCCATCCAAAGCCCTCTGTGAACTGGTGGGGATGAAACGTGCAGCAGCTTCAGTTCTGAGGCTCCTCCTACTCACTGACTTGTCTGTGCCTTGAGTGGCCAGTGGCCTGTGTTCTCGGGTCAGAGCCCTGGGCCTTGAGTCTGGGATAGGAAATCCCCAGCACTGGGTCTGCCCTGTAGGAGACTGAGGTCTAGGGGCCCCTGATCCCAGTGTCTGGGTCAGGAAAGCCTCATAGCTAATGTAAAAGCTGCCTTCACTGTCAACGTTGCCCTGTGCAGACCCAGAGATCTCAGCTCTGCCCCTAAGCAGTGCCCACCCTCCAACAGTTTCCCCAGCCACCTCTGCCTTGGTTTCCCTTCTGGAATGTGGGTGTTGTGAAGCAGCTGTGCACAGGAAGGCGTGCTAATCTATGGAGGTGGTAGGAAAGCCTGGGGTGGCAGCTGAGACATGTGTGTGTGCCCAGCCCCAAACAGAGCAGACCGTCAGTGCCATGGTCCTAAGATGGGCCTCTGAGTAACCACATTTCCCACATGAGTTCTCAAGTGCTCCTCAGGACATGGAAGACTGTTACAGTTTATATGTAGATGTCCCCCAAGAGCCTCATGCAATCACACGTGGGGCTTTTGGAAGCAATTATGGGAGCTTATAGCTCACTTGCTGTTAGGTGGGGTCTAGTTGAAAGAGGGGGGTCACTCAGAGAGTGGCCTGGGGGGGGGTTATCTTCCTCCCAGCTTATCCCCTTTCTCTCTGTTTCCCTAGTCTCCATGAGCAGTTTCTCCTCTTCAACAGGCCCTTCCACCATGTCATTCTGCCTTGGAGCCAGCTGACTGGATTGAAATTTCTATCAAATGTGAGCCAAAATAAGCCTTTCCTCCCTTAAGTTTTGGATGTTGAATATTGTGTCTCAGCGATGAGAAAGTGACTAAGACAATATAAATTGCACAGTCACCTGCCCCTAGTCCTTTGGGTCACAAGGGCCATCCCTCTTGTCCTTAGGCTCAGACACTGCCTGGTGGATAGACCTGTGTTTTGACCACAGCCCCAGCTGTCCTTGCCCCGAGGAACAATTTGGGGGCAACTTGCTAAAGAGCCAAGTGGGGAACACGCTTGGTGCTGTGGTTTAGGTGTGGTCTGAGTGTCCCCCAGGGTACATGTGTTGGAATTTCACCCCACTGTGAGGTATTGAAGGGGGAACCAAATCTAACCACAGTGTATGGAGGTGAGGCCTGTGGAGGTGATTAGGATTAGATAAGGTCATGGGGAAGGAGACCTCAGTCCCCTGCAAGGCATGCCCAGTGCTGGGGATCTTCATACTGGTGGCTTCATAAGAAGAGGAAGAGAGACCAGAGGAGACACATGCTCCTTGTCTCTTGCCATGTGATGCCATTTGCCACCTTGGGACTCTGGCAGCAAGAAGCCATCACTAGGTGTAGCCCTCACCCTTAAACCTCCACAATTGTGGGCTAAAGAAGCTTCTTTTTTGTTTATGAAGTATTTTGCCTCAGATATTTTGTTAGACTAATGCAAAAATAGACAAATACAGAAAATCACTTGTGTACTTGGCTCATTCCCACTTGACAGGGCTCAGCCCAGGGATCCTTGGCTGTAGGCCACTTGATCACCTACAGCAAGGCTAGGAGCAACACAAACCTCCAAGACAGCCGAGCCCTTTGTCCCTCATAAAGGATAGTGCTGGGCTGGGGAGACCACATCCTGCTGAGGGGGATCTGTGCTGGCAGCTGCACAAATTCTAGGATTGACGAGGCCTCTGATCAGGCACAGATGCTACCTAACCTTCACACACCAAGAATGACAGGTGAGCAATCTCACCCCACAGTGTTGGTTTCTAACATCTCTTCTGTTCTGTAATTATTATTGTGATTTATTATTATTATTATTGTTTTGTGTAGTACTGGGAATTGAACCCTGAGCCTTTGAATCTTAAGCACCATTTCTATTATTTGAGGCAGGATCTGCCTAAGTCACTAAGTTGCCCAGGCTAGGCTCGAATTTATAATCCTCCTGCCTCAGCCTCTCAGAGTGCTGGGACTATAGGCATAGGACACCATGCCTGGTTTGGTTTCTAAGTTAGAAGAATCAGGACAGCAGGACAAAGAAGATCCTGAAGTTAGAATTGGGGAAACAGGGCCCCTGGAGTAACCCCACCAGAAGATGATGCCCCAGTTCAGGAAGAAAATTAAGCCTCAGATTGGCGAGGCTCAGGGGTACGTGGGGCTGAAGGGAGTGGTTGCTTTCTAGGTTGTCCAGAGATGAATCTTCCCCTTCAGAAGGCTGTGGGGAGAAGCTCTGGACTTGGGATCTCACCTGGGGTGACAGGTGGCCTCACAAGCTGTATTCAAAAACAAGGGAGCTTGCTGGGTATGGTGGCACACACCTCTAATCCCAGCACTGAGGTTGAGGCAGGAGGATCGAAAATTCAAGTTCTGTCTAGGTAACTTAGTGAGACCCTGTCTCAAAAAAAAAAAAAAGACTGGGAATGTAGCTCAGTCGTAGAGTACCCCTGGGTTTGATCCCTAGTATCAAACAAAAACAAAAACAAAAAAACAGGGCAGCTCAATGAAAACTTTGAAATTATTAGGCAATAGTGCAGACTGTTGTGCTACCCTTGTGTGGACTGAACCCCGAGGTCCTGGAGAAGCAGAGCTGCAGTGCCCAGCTGTACCCTGACTCCCCAACCCCTGCCTTGCCCACCCACCTGCTCTGATGCAGTGCTTCCTGGTTTCCCTCTTTCCGGAATCCCCTCGGTGTCTCCAGGAGTCCCAGCTTCATGGCCTGCATCTTGAAGGTCTACAGGGTGGGGCGAGTGTCTGTTCTCTGCAGGCTCCTGGTCAGGGGGTGAAGTGTCTGGCTTTCCTGAGGCCCCTGGCCCCCTGTCTGTGTTATGGCTGGTTCCCAGTGCCTCTTCCAGCTGGAGTCTGGGTGCCTGCTCAGGCCACAGCCTGCTTTTAGACTGTGCCCTGAAGCATGAAAGGCCATTTTTCCCCTCTAGAAGGAACTTCGTGGGGTCCGGGGGGAAGAAGTCAGATATAGTTAGCTGGTTTTTTGCACTGGTCAGTGACAGGCAGAGGGCATTGGCCTCAGGGCCCTCAGGCAGCAGCCTGGGGAATGTCTGCACCTTTCTCAGGCGGCTCCTCTTGACGTCTCTGTCTGGCTCACCAAGGAGGGATGTGGTATCCAGGACAAGACTGGCCAGCCCCTCCTGGCTTGGGCTCTCACCGTTTTTCATGGGGGCCAATAGCAGTGGCTTGGTGGGTGGTGGCCTGGGGCCCCAGCTGGCCTCCCGCTCTGGGTCCCTGGGGGCATGAGGCTGGGGCTGGCCCTCGGGAGTGGATAGGGCCTCTGGGTCAGCGCTGAGGTCTCCAGGGAGTCTCTTGGGCCCCACACTTCTTGGAGCAGGTCTCCCCTTCCAGGTGTTCTCGCTGACGTCTGGGTACAAGGTAGGACATGGTTACCATGCAAGATACTGGACCAGGGACCCACACCCCAGGTGGCTCCCACAACCACCTCTGATCCTGGCCCATCCATCTCTACAAGATCTCTGAGCACATGTCTAACAGATGGGGACTCCTGTCCCGCACTGCAAACCCCACTGTTCCCTCAGTGCAGGCCCAGAGATGTCCTGTCTGCTTCCCGTCACATCACCCAGCCAATTAGACGTTCCAAGCAGAGAGGCTCCTGTGCTTCCCTCACCCCATCATGCAAAGCTTCCCATGGGGTTAGCCCTTGCTGGTCCAATTATCTCTTCCCAAAGGAGCTCATTTTCTATTATGATTACACAAGTGATTCCCCCAAAGGAAGAAAGTGAATCTGGCCACAAACGTGGGATGTGCACTCTTGTATACCTGCCTTGATGGGAGCAGTTCTAGACACTAGTCTCTTTTGGCAACTCTGCTACCTAGGAGTGTTGTCCGAGCAATGCTGATTTTTGCCCTTGGCAAGGAAGATGCCTTGGCCCCTGCAAAGTTCTGGATGGCTGTGGAGCCCCACACATCCCTTACCTGAGGCCCTGCAGGCTCCTGAAATGACTTGAGACTCATGTGAGTCATGAAACCCCAGACTACAGCAAAGCTTTGCAGGTGGAGGAGAGGGTGACCTACCAGATCTGGGTGGTGTGGGCAGGCAAAACAAAACAGTGAAATGCCATGTCCCTCTGCCAGAAAGCAGAGATGAGCTAAGACATATGAGCGACACTAGCCTGAACCGCTACTGAACTTGATTTTGACCCTCACTTTTCATTGCATGGCACCAAAAGGCTTGCTTGTGGTCACTGAATGAGTGTGGGTGTGTGAGTGTGGAAATGCCAGAATGTGCACAGTGTACACGTGTGTGGTATGTATGACAGTGTAGGTAGTATGCATGAGAGTGTGAATGTGTAGACAAGTGTATATGCTTGTATAGGAGTGTGTAGTATAAACAGACACTTGTGAGTTTGTGTGTGTGGACAGTGGGAACACAATGTGAATACGTGTATATGGGGTATATATGTGCCTTATATGAATGTGTGTGATTGTGAATGTGGTGGGTATTTATAGGATGTGTATGTCAGTATGAATATGTGTGAGTGTACATATATCTGTGTTGATGTGTGTGCATGCTTGTTAGTGGGTGTATGTACATGTGGATGTATTTTGCACATGCATATGTGTACTGACTGTATTCTATAGACACTGTATATCTATATGTACATACATGTGTGTGCATGTGCATATGCAGAAGTGTGTATATGTGCAAGAATGTACACATGTGTGTCACACATGTGCTTACCCTGAAATGCTCCAAAGGACTCGATGGACAGCACCCTCCTCCCGATGGCTGAGAGACTCCGGCACAGGCGGCATGAGGACATAGGCTGCATCTTCTCCTCACATAGTGCTATGATGCTCTAGGGACATGCATGTGCCTTTCAGGCATCCAAACTCACCAGGAAGAGGCCCACCCTCCTGAGACCCACCTCCCTGCACACAGCTAAGTGGTGGTGCCCAACAGTCCCCAGGGCCACCCTACCTGCCTACCAAGTGTACCTTCTGGCATAAAAGACAAGAAGTCCTGGAATTACAGAAAAGTTTTGCCGATGATAACTATAAGTCAAAACTTTTCATTGCAAAAATGTACAATAAAAATCAAGCCCTGGTGTAAAAAGGATGCAGTGCTACCAAATTCTGGTGAGGTTGCTGGGGCCCATGTGGCATGTGTGTGTGTGTGTGTGTGTGTGTGTGTGTATGTGTGACATGCATAGAGCTTGTGGGGGGGGTCAGGTGAGGTCTGGGCTTATAGTTTACCTTCAGATCTGGCCGGTCTCTGGGATCCTCTGCCTGCATCTGGCCCAGCAGTGTCTCCAGGTCCGGACTTAGCTTGGGTTCCAGCTCAGGCTCTGCCACATACTCGAGGGCGGCCTTCAGCGTGGCCCCCAGAGAGTAGATGTGAGCCTGCAGCACCAAGGAGGCAGGAAGGAACCATTAATCCTCCACTGCCTGCAACCGTCTGGAGCTTGTGAATTGGCTCAGGCCACACGTGCAATTGTGCTAGGCACTGGCCCCACTGCAGGCATCATCTCTGTGTGAAACAGTAGCACCAGTACATGAGGCACTCAGGTCTGGGTCTTCACTGGCCCCAGAGCTCCACCAGCCCCTCCCACACTTCCCACCACCTCAGCCCCACCTCAGCCCCACCTGGTACAGATGCTGAGCTCCTCCTCAGGGCTGCAGTTCCTTTCAGAAAGAGATGGAATTGTGTGCGTGTGTGTGTGTGTGTGTGTGTGTGTGTGTGTGTGTGTGTGTGAGATCCAGGGTCTTACACATGTTAGGCAAGGTTCGAGCAGGATGGCTTTTCGTTTTGTTGGAAAGTTGGGTTTTCCCTAACTGAGCACAAGAGTGAGTTTTGTGGGTGGTCCAGCCAGGATGCCAGCCTCATCAAAGGCCTTGGCCTAGATCCTAGTAAATCGATAGCAGCTGATGTCTCCAGTGGCTGGGCACCGCCGTGCCTCTCTTGTTTCATAAAACAAAAATGGCTGATACTCTGGTTTTTCTTCAGACCATATAAATTTTTTGCCTTTTATAAAAATGGCTCATATTGGGGCCAGGGATTTAGCTCAGTAGTTCTGCCGTCTGCCTTGCAAGTGCAAGGTCCCAAGTTTGATCCCTGGTACCAAAAAAAAAAAAGGCTCATATTTTGTAACTGCAGTGATTTTTTAATATTAATTTCTAAAGGACCAACTTTTTTTAGGGGTGGGTACTGGGAATCAAACTCAGGACCTTGCGCTTGCGAGGCAGGTGGTGGAACCACTGAGCTAAATCCTTGGCCCTTGGATGAACTTTTTTGCAAAATAAAATCTCTATTATAGAGACAGGGTCTGTCTTTTTTGTTTGTTTTTATTTTTTACAAATAACTACATATTTACAGGTCAAAATGCAATGTCTTGATGCAAGTTTGCTATGTAGAATTATTTGCTTTTGGCTTGTTTTCCTGTTTTAAAAATTCTACCTATTGTATTGACTCCTGGAATTCCTGTGGGTTTTTTGGCTATTATAAATGGAATGTTTAAGTTTCATTTCTAACTGGTAATTACTGACACAAAAGAAAGCACTTATTTGGGGATGTATCTTGTGTTCAACTGGCCTCAGATGTCTTCTCTACTCTTAGGTTCCAGGTCCACAGAACATTGACAGATGTAATTCTTCCTTCTCCTCCTCACTCTGTTCAGGGTCCTACCTTAGCCTCCTGAATCTTTCCATTCTTCTCACACTCATATGGGCAGACCCTGGGTCACTCCTACTTCTCACAGATGAACACTGACCCACCCCAACTTCCCCTCACATGCTGTGAGGACACAGCCAAGCCACAGAATGTCTGTGGGCCCTATGGTAGTCCTCGGTGGTGTCAATTTAAAATGACAGAGACAGCAATGGGTACAGCATCTTTGACGGGCAGCAGGAAACGGGGAGAGGAGGAGCCCACAGCCTGCTCTCGGCCACCCACTCTATACTGGCACTCTTCTCACTCACAACCCCTCCATGTCTTGCAAGGTCCTCTGTCCTCACCTGGTGACCCACCCAGCCTTCAGTTCCAGCCTAGACTCACTTGCTCACAGTGGCTTCCAGGCCCCTTGATGGAAATAAAGACACTTGTCATTTCCTTGCAGCCCTACTCTCAGGCCCAGTACTTTTGCCTAGCCCATTGGTCTCCCATCAAAGATGGCCCCCTGTGTGGACTGTGGCCTCCGTGCAGCAGGACCCCATCTGGCCTATGGCTCTGATCCTTGTCGAGTGCACACCTGTGTACTGCTGACATGTGAACAAGTGAACAACATGTGTCAGCCCTGAGCTGTCCTAATTGGTCCCTCATGAGCCCACATGTGCTCATGGCAATGAGGGCAAGATAGGGTCCTGTGTGGGCTGGAGGCTGGCCCATTTTTAACTTTTGGGATCTAGGCAGCCTCTGGAGTCTCCTGAGCAAGGAGTGAGGTGTACAGACATGATTCTGGGAAGACTTGCTGTAACATGTCCTGGAGATGTGGGGAGTGGAGGAGTCAGTCTCAGTAGCAGGAAGAGAGATGGCCCAAGGGCGGGGGGTGAGGGAGGCCCTGTGGTACCTGGAATACCTGGGCCAGCACAAAGGAGGTTCTGGACTGCATGAAAATGCATTGTCCATCAGTGCAGTGGGGTTTGGTGTAATGGTCAGGAGGAGGGGCTCTTGAGTCAGCAAGGGTTGAGCTCAGCCTGAATGCAACTGACAACCACCTTAACAGAGACCCAGGAGGCCAGACCAGGGCATCATGTGTCCACCACAGAGGGTGATCCTGCCAGACTTTCCCGGGCACACAATAGCACTAGGAAGGTGAGCGGGGTGTTGGTGCCCTGAGTCCAGGTAGGAATATGCACCTGAGCTGTGTGACAGGACTCTCCTAGACATGGAGGCTCACTTGAGCCAGTATTCTGGGGGTCAACACATGCAATAGTTAAATTGCTCAGGGGTCCTGGCAGCCCCAGCGAAGGTCCCCAGAGTAAAGCTAAGATCAGAAACCCTAGGCACCATGGACTGGCAGGGGATGTGTGGCCCCATGTAGAAGTGAGAACATGCCTTGGCACACCCAGAAGGCCTTTCCACAAGAGTAAGGTACAACAGACCCTTTTGGTCTGCTGTTAGGCAGGAAAATCACCTGTTGCCCTGGGAACTGAGGCAACTCGGAGAACAGAAAGCCACATTGTTGGATTATTCTGAGACATGAAGATAGGATCTCTTCCCCTATCACATACCCATCAGCCTCCTACATCCATCCCTGCTGTTGACACCACTGCATCCTGTATCTGGACCACTTGTCGTTGCACAGGCCTCCCAAGAAAGTCTCTCCCCATGGAATTTAGGTGCCTAGAGTTCAGTGGCTCCTTCTGGGCTGGGCTCCTCTGCAAATGAAGGAACACAGTGCCCTCTACAGGAAGAACAGCATCCACCCACCAGGAGAGCCCTTAACTTTCAATGCACTTACCTCGTCGGTTAGTAGGTAAATGGGCAATAAAATGAAATAAAATGCTATAGAAGATACAAACAACCCAATAAGTTGTTGGAGTCATACAGAGAAACCTGAATCCCTATCGAGAATACAAATTTCAAAACAAAGAAAACCTTAACAAACTGCAAACAACAGGTGCACAGACAGCATTTTTCACTCACAGTTTGACAGAGTCAGAAGTTACAAAAACAAAGACAAACAGGCCGGGGATTTAGCTCAGTGGTTTCGCCGCCTGCTACACAAGCGCAAGGATCTGAGTTCGATCCTCAGAACCAAAAAAAGAAAAGAAAAGAAAAGAAAAAAAGACAAACAAAAAGTCATAGCGTGTTCAGAAACAAGAACAATTATTGGGAATGAATGCTCACGTGACCACACTCGCATGATAGACTTTACACAAAGACTGGGCAGAAGGAGCCAGCTAGGGTCAGCTTTGTTCGAGTCTAACCACAGAAAGCACAAAAACAGGATAAGCCCTGATCTCTGTTCTGTGTTGTCTGGATGTTGCCCTCGGGGGTGCTGGGTGCTGGTCACATTCTGACTCCAGCTGGATGCTGCTTATGGGGCATGCTTGTGATATGTGCATATCTCACTAAAAAGTAACAAAACCAGCCAGACATGGGAGCATGTGCCTGTAATCCCAGCACTGAGGAAGGCCAAGGCAGGAGGACCACAAGTTCAAGTTCCACCTGGGCAATTTAGCAACACTGTTTCAAAAAAAGGGAATTGGGGATGTGGCTCAGTGGTAGTTGCTCATGGGTTTCCCAATATCCACCCCCCAACACACACAAAGTAAGAAAATGCCAACCCATTACAGGGCTAAGGAAGAAATCTCAGGGGCAATAAAAAAAAATATTTAGAACCAAACACTATGTGGCAAAGTTCACAAGGTGTAGCAAAACTCATGTGTTGAGGGAAATTCATAGCCTACAGTATTGACAATGTTATTAGAAAGGAAGAGAATCTAAAAATTAATGATCTGAATCTGTAACTCAAGTTAGAAAAGGAAACAACCCTATACTCAAAGAAAGTACAGAAATAATAAGAAACAAGAATCAATGGGAAAGAATATACAGACATGCCAGGAGACACCACATGATGCATAGAGGGGTCTCTGAAAAAGATGGAACAAAATAACCCCTGGTAAGACTGATAAGTGAAAGGAAAGAAAGTGCAAATTAATGGTCAGTGCAAGGAAAGGGGGCAACCTACAGAAACTATGGCAGGGGAAAGGATAGCCTTTGCAGCCAGCCCTTTTAATGTACCTGTTTTTATCTGCTGTAGTTTGCCAAAAAGCTGACTCAATATGAAGTAGAAAACAGGTTAGTCTTGTAACCAGTAAAATTTGAAAGTCATTAGAAATCTTTTTGCAAAGCAAACAGATGGCATCATCAGTGAGTTTTGCCAGACTTTCAAGGCATAGATCATCCCATTCTTACACAAAAAGAACAAAAAGAGAGAGGGTGCTCAGACAAGATTGGGATAATCCTCATGTCAATGCCAGTCAGAAACAGCAGGAGAATGGAAAATTACTAACCACTCATGAAAAATATGGGAAAATCCACACCAAGCAACCTTAGGTCAAATTTAGCAGTTAATAGGAAAGATAAGACACTTGGTCAACCTAGGATTTTCTAAGTATAAAAGGGTGATTTAATACCAGAAAATAAATATATAAACATTAAAATCTTAATGAAGATAAAATTATATGATCATTTGAAGAGATGCAGAAAGAACATTTCATAAAGATGAAATACACATACATGAATAACTTTGGTGAATTCAGCATAGAAGGGAACTTGTGGCCAAGTAAAATGCCATCCTGGCTGGTGAAAGGTGAAAACACACTGTTAGAATGGGGATGAGGAGGGGACCAGTGCCCTGGACAGGATGGATATACTGCAGTTCCATCCTGAGGCTCAGTGCTGCTCCTGGCACAAGAGAAGCCTGAGGGATCACCACTGTTGGTTTTTTTGGTCAATGATTGAGTTAGTTAAAGAGAAAAATCAAAAGAATCTATAAGTTATTAGAAATAACAAGACTTTACAAGATGGTTGGATATAAAATTAAGATATTAACATAAATTGCATTTCTGTAAACTAGCAACAAACAAGCAGAAAACTAATAAAAAAGATCATTGATTTTAGAATGGAATAAATAATAGATAAATAATAAATTCCCCAGAATAAATCTAATAAAAGATATCCCCCCAAATGGAAACAAAGTCTTTGTAAATAGGGAGGGATGGAGGGGTTGAAGGGAGGGTAGGGGAATGGGGAAAAAATAAGAACCAAGATAGATTATGTAAAGGTGCAAATTTCCAAAGATGAATTTCATTATACTGTATACCTAAAATGTACCAATAAAATTAATAAAAAAGATATCCCAGACATGGTAAAAAATTTAAAGTGGGACTAAGAGGAACACAATAAGTGAGGAAGTATCAAGTATTTATACAGAAGAAGTTCATATGTTATAAAGATGTGAATTCTCCCCAAATTGATCTATAAATTGGTGCCGTTCCAGACAAGATGCTAACAGAGCTTTGCATGGAATGTAATGAATTGATTCTAAAACATATATGGAATAAAGGGTTGAGAATAGTCAGGTCACTTGTGCAAGTGGCAGACCTTGCCAGGAATGAGTGATTAAAAGAACACTGTTGTAGAACTCGGCTGGATGAGGGACCAAGGGATAGAGCAGGATGGAGATCTAGAAGCTTCTCATTTCTGTTCAGCCTGTGAATACAGGAGAGGTAGCATGTGCTGGGGCTAGCCAATAAGCAGAGCCAGGAAAGATGGCCATCAACACAGAGAAGGATGAAAGTGATCCTTATTTTACACTAGATAAAAAAATGGGTGTCATATGTTAACTGATTTAGTCATTTCATAATGTGTACATATATCTGAATATCACACTGTACTCTGTAAATGGATAAATTTTGTTTGGCAGTTACACTTTAATAAATCTAGGAAAAATCAGCTTCAGGTGAATTAAGTATAAAGAATAGAACTTTGAAATTCTTGGTGGCAAGTATCAGTGAGTATCTGTTAGACCTTGAGCTGGGGAAGTCTGTTAATAGACTATACTTCAATAGGGTACAATAACAATCTACACTAACAAAAGAAGCATTAATTGATATGACCACATTAAAACTGAGAAATTCTTTTTCATTAGAGGGTATCTGGAGGCAGCTTTCCCTAAATTGTGGTTGAAGGGCTCAGAACCATTTTCGTAACAATACTGAGATGTCATTTGCCTTTTTGCACTTTCCTTCTCTCCTGAGCCGACAGTGAGGTTTCAGAGGCCATATGATGTGATAGTGCAACAGCCTGAATGAAATTATATTCAGTGTCCAGGGCCACTTCTCCCACACACAGAGCTGTTCTCAAGCTGCCACCAAGGACAAAGGTGGGAGCCTCAAGGACAGCCCCCACTAGGGATAGTCCAGCACCCTCAGAGGCCACACACTGCAGCAACCAAGGTTAGCAGGTAACCGCAAAGGTACAGGAGAAGAGGGAGGGGATTGGTGAATTGCTTTCCCCTGCTCTTACCTCAAAGGTGTTCCCAGTCAGGTCAAACTCTGGAGGGACAAAGGCACCCTCAGGGTCATCTTGGGGAAGAAAAAAGAAGGTGTTTTGATCGCATCTACGAAGCATCAGTGAAGACAGCAAAGTACCAACTACAGCTCAGCTCCTCGGATCTTATAGGAAGGGCTAGGAAGGACGACCCAGTTCCTCAAAGTCAAGTCCTTTCCTTCTAACCCCTTCCTTTGGACCAGGCATCCCAGAGGATGGTTTTAAGCATCTCAAGAGTCAGCAGTTAAAAAGAGAAATGGTGCCTTAATTGTAAATGTGGGAAATTGATTTCAAAGGGAAGGAGAAAAATATATTGTCTGGCATCTCAAAGAAGGAGAACTGAAGGATTTAGTTCTCAAATGGTATTGAAAATCATGTCTGTCAGTTCAGGGTCTCCAGAGAGGGAAGTGGCTAGCCCACTGGGGCCAGGTAAGTTTCACCTGTGGTTCACTGAAGGCAAGTAGGGGAGCCAAGGAGCCAAGATCTCCCTTAGGGTTAGAGTTAGGGTTAGAGTTAGTGCCTGCACCAGCCAAGCCCCTTCCTGGTCCTCTGAGGGCATGTGTGGCAGCCTTGGAGAATGTGAGACACCTGGCTAGCCCAGCTCAATGTCTGGGCTGCCTCTTTTCCTCCATTATACTTCGGGTTGAGGGTACCATCAGGCTCCAAGGAAACCTGGGCCCTGGCAGGTGCCCTGTGTCCACTCAGTTGCCTGACAGGTGCCTTCCACCCTAGCTGCACCACCCGTTGGGCCTCACCACTGAGCTGTTCCATGAAGCACACATTTCCGCTGGTGTTGAAGGCCAGAGTATCAGGTGTGATGCACAGGGTCTGGAAGATGGCAGAGTGGGCAACGCTCCGCATGGACAGGCTGCACTCCAGGCACACTGCCCAGGCCTCCTGCTCGCTGAGGCCACTGTCCCGCAGGGAGAGGATGTCAGCCAGGGTCACGTTCTCCTGCCAAAATACACCTCATTGTAAGCCCACTGAGGGGCCTCCCTTCGGCAGAGCCCTGCACCCCGCACCGAGACTGAATCTCTGGGTGAGCAATCTTATGGGTCAGGAAAAGAGTTTTTAGGCAGGTCTTTTAAAACCCGTCATCCTGCTGCTCCCTGGATGTCAGAGCCACGGAGCATTTGGTGAAACAACACTGTGCTGCCCAGAGCAGGTGTCTGTTCATGTAGCCTGGGGATAAGAGGCCATCCTCCCTGGAAGTTGGCTGGAGCCTGAGAACTTGTGCCTAGCTACCCACCAGCTCAGGGATACCCCTGACCCCACAGGTTCACAGCTCAGCCAGGATGCTGAGGCTGTGAACATATAAGTCATAGGCACCTGTGGAGACAGAGTCAATGCCTATAGAACATGTATCTGTGCACAGGAATCCTCCAATTGGCTAATGTGGCATAAGCCTAAGACATAATCACATGCCACCTAATTACACGTGAATCACATGGTTGTGAAGCTGCCCAGGCACTAACTACAGGCAGCTCACATGGAGTGCAGTCAATGGTGGTTCCTTCTGAGCCTGACTGCTCACCACAAACACCCAGATGGGCTCTGTGACTCTGTGAGAGCTTAGCTGTGAGCATGAAGGCCAATATCAACACCCACAGTGCACCCACGTAACAGAGGCATACCCGCACACATGTGCATATGTGCCTATACAACACATGCAATTCAGATATATATGGACCCATTTGCCATGTTCCTATTTGCACACGTGCACACAGAGAAACATACACACCCTCTATACATGTACGCTCTCAGTGACATGTCAACATATACTCTTTCACATGTGCACATATGTATGTACTAAGACTCTCACCCACAGGCACACACACATTCCCAATGTGCCTGCACATTTTCACATCCTCACACATGTACACACAGTCACACAACAAGAGCAACAACCATTCTTTTCTGTTTTGTTTTTTTGAGACAGGGTCTCACTATGTAGTTCAGGCTAGCCTTGGATTTACTATGCAATCCTCAGACTCACAGCAATCTTCTTGCCTCAGCCTCCCAAGTGCTGGGATTACAGGCATGCACCACCCCATCTGGCAACAACCATTCTTATATACACAAGCACACATCACAAGCACACAGATCCTTTCACTTATTTCTGCATGTACAACCGTAAACATATGCCCATACCCTGTCACACACATTCATATGATACTACATGAACCACACTCACACACAATATTACCACACTCTCTCACACATGTGCATGCACTCATACACACATACTTCTACAATGCACTCTCCTACATTCACACCTAGCACACACCCTCATGTGCACAGATGTAACTGTTACACACATCCACACTCACAAGCACAAACACAGTTGCTAGCATGTGTACATATGGACTCAGACTCACACACACATCAGATTCCCTGAAGCCCTCCCTTGATCTACTGTTCCTGCACTCCCTTACTGTGCTTGTGCACTGCTTCTCTTACAGGAGGGGGTGGGAGGTTCTGAGGGAGGTGGGCTGGGGCTCGGGTCAACAAAGGATCTGGACATCCCTCAGAGAAGTGGGAACAGGATGAGTGGGGCATGGAGAAGGGGCAGGGCGCCCTACCTTCTCCTCCAGCCTTGAGCCTTGCCCAGGACAGCCAAGTGGCCAGGTCCACCTTTAGTTGGTATTGCAAAGGATGCTCAAAAGCACGGGTGAGAGGATAAAGGGCTTAAACCAACCAACCAGCCAACCAACAAACAGAACCATCATCCCCAGTGTGGAACTTGGCTGGGGCTCTGGGTCTGCTGCTTCCCAAGTGACCAGCATAGCCAGCTGTCTACTTCCCTCTTAGAGTCCAGGGAGGGGCCCAGTGATGTCACTTCCACAGCCTTCCAGCTCTTTCTGTGGTGGGAAGCTTCCTGCTGTGCCCCTAGGCTTGTCTGACTGATAAAGGTCTTTGTGATGTGAGCTCAGTCCTGTACCCTCTATGTGCCACCCAGGGCCACTCAGGACTCAGGGGAGCTTGAGATGCCAGCAGTGCCTATGAGACCTGACCAAAGAGATGCACACAAATACATTCACATGCACCACACCTGCACACACACATGTGGCTGTGCACACATGTCTTCATACATGCACCTATACAAAAGGGCACAGCACAGTGCATACACATATGCATGCACATGTGCTTACCAAGGTCATGCAAGCAAACACAGGCACACACTAAGTGAGGTAAACCCTTGCAGACCTCACATGTCTGTGACATTCAGAAAGGAAGGAAGCAGGCCCACAATGTGAGTCTGAGCCAGTCCCAGGGCCTGCCAATACTCTGCTGGCTGCTGCTCACATTGGCCGGCAGGCCTGCCTGCTCGCCACCAGTGTCAGAGTGTGCTGCCATCAGGCCAGCCTGTGGCCCATAGCACCACCTCCTGCTCAGGCCCAGGAGGAAGTTATCCCTGAGAGTTGGGAGCCCCAGCCAGTCCTCAGGACAGCTAGACACCTACAGGCCCCAGCACCTATGGTGGGAGGTCTAAATGAGGAGAAGCAGAAGCCCTGGGGATTCTCTGGGTTACTCTGGGGTGAATTGTAGGGGGCTACCAGAGTCATTGCTTCTGGCCATGGCTAAAGCCTTCTCAATGATGGGACCACGTCAGTACCCTGACATCTGCTTTCCCCAGGTGGCATCCAGCCCAAGGCACCCTGTTGGTTCCCCTTGCCAGTCACTGAGGACCCCAAGTCTGAACATTGCATCTCATGGTCACCTGCCCTCTGGAGTCTACAGCTACCCCTGCTACCTACCTGCTCTGATCCAGGTGTGAGGAATGTTTCTCCCTTGCCAAAATCCATGGAAGCTGAACTAGGGCAGGTGGGAGTGTGGGATGAGCTTTGGCTAAGTTGCCAAGGACAAGGATGAGAGACCAGGAGGGATGTGGGCAGTGCTGGCCAGCTGCTCAGGTTTAGTCCATTCCCCTCCCCCAATTCTAGCAGACACCTCACAGCCAACCCCATGGACTGAAACCCACCCTGTAGGTTTGTTCTTGTTCACAGAAGAGGCCCCCCAGGGACCTGTGGTTCTTAGCTAGTCCAGTTTCAGCCTGCTTGTGGGCAGCCCAAGTGGGCTCCATGGGCTTAATGGACCACAGCAGACATTTTGGAGGGAGGTGATATGCTGGGAGTAGTAAAGCAGCTTTGCCTTTAGCAGAGGCCCATCTGCTTGGGGCCCCCATACACCCAGCAGATACAAGGGCCCCACACAGACCACAGCATCGTGACTCCCTACACTGCAGCCCCTACCAGCTCTTTCCAGCACAGCCTGACCTTGCATTGCCAGCCAGCTTTGGGTGGCTCCATCTGCTGGGTACAGCCCCAGCTCCTTGGGTGGGTGAGAGGGTCCTTCACAAGCCAGCCTGCCCCTACACCTCCCCAGCGTGGTGCTGCCTGGGTGCTGCCCAGGGCCATCCAAGCCATGTTCCCTGAAGGGCAGGCAATTGTGTGGGTGCAATTCGAAATTGGGGGGATACGGGAAGATAAATGGATGAGACCCTTGGGGTGGGCTGCTTTCCAAAGCAGTGGCACTTCAGCTCATTCCTGGGCCCCAGAGGGTGAGACCCTTATCTGGCTACTGCAGAAGCCCACGTAAGGGCTTCTGTGCAATGAAGAACCTGCCCACTCTGAGAGACTTTGATCTGGGGATGCAGGGGACCGAAGGTCATTGTGCACATTTCAAAAACTTCTCATAACCAGTTAACTTTTCAGCTGTGGCATGTCCTAAGAAGACCTACCAACACAAAACTGAAGTCATTCTAGGGGCATGTGCAAGCAAATCCCCAGGCCCTTGAGCTGCCAAATCCCCAGCCATGGGGAGCTCTGAACAGTGTCCCCTGTTGGTGCACCTGTTCGTGGCTGTCCCTCTCTGTGAAGCTCTCCTGGGTTCAGGCTGCCTTCTGTCCATTTGGGTACAGGTCATAAGGACCCCTCAAGGGCACACTGAGAATAACCCCTTCTTCATAGGATGTTCCCAGCTGTGGGCTCCATTCCTCTTCAATCTGCAAGCTCAGTCCAGTGCCAATCCCCAGAAGGTTCTGGGAAGCCACTTGTTGGGCTTGGGGTGGGGGTGACAATGCTCTTGCCTCTCAGGGAAGGAGACAGGAAATGCCCCATCTGGCACCCAAACAGCGTCATCTTCATCTCCAAGCTTGCTCAGGTCTACAAGGCTGAAGCCAATGGCACCACCTGCCTCCTGACCAGGCAGCCAGTGCTGACATTGCTGACCACAGCCATCTGATGTGTATCTGTCTCTCCTGTAGCCATGGTCCTGCCCACATCTGATCATACTGTTCTGCCCCTAATCCCACATCATGTGTCCACAGATGCTGAAATTCCATGTAATTCCAGGGAATGATACTTGTTTCAGGAAACCCATCTTGCTCAGTGCCTGGGCAGAACATCTCCACTGTGCATCTGTAACCCTCTGCTTGTACTAACCCAGTGGTACTACCTCCAGGTGGCCAGGGACACAGAGTGGTTACAACTTCCAGGCCCTAGTCAAGCTGTGCCAGTCTGCTCACCAAGAGCTCTGGGTGGTTTCCAGCTGATGGGTTCTCACACATGCATGGTCCACTTGTGTACCCTGTGTCTTCAGGGCTCACCCAAGTGAAACTTCTGTGATGCTGGGTGCTAGTCTCTCTGCCTCAGCAGTGAATGTTAAGCTGTTTTCCATCAGGCTGTTCCCACTTATATTCCCACAGCAGCAATAGAGCACTGATTGGTGGGACCTGCAGGTCTTGCCAGCACATGCCTGTCCACTTCCTCTGTTACTACCCTGTGGTGGTCATGACAAGGTATTCACTGTTGGGCATATTTTGCATTCTCTGGATTATAATAAGGTCAAACAACTTTTCATGCTTTCACTAGCCTTTTGGACTTTTTCTGACAATAGAGAAGAGTTATTCCAGGGTTCTTGGAGAGTCAGTAGGTTTCCACCTCTTGACCTCACTGGAGTGAATTCTTATGTTCTAGTCATAGGATTTGACCAGTATCTGGTGCCCATCTTGCCTCCTTGGGAGCTGCTGTTGGCCTGGGCCACAGACCCTTCCTGGCGACTCCTCCAGCATTGCCAGTAGGATGATAACAAAGCCTCGTTCTTCTCTACCCTACACAGGATGGCTTGCAGATGCAGCCCAACTACAGAAATCTGTGATAGGTATAGAGTAAAATCTTTCAACATAAACCAAGCCAAATATGTGCAGGAAGCATAAAGTCTGAACCTGAGATGTATTCTCAGATCAAGCTCAATCTTGGCTCAAGCCTGGCCTGGGGACCCTCCTGTGAACAGGAGCAAAGATGGAGTCCTCTCCCCAAGTGAGAAGCCCACCTGAACTTTCCACTGGATGCCACTAAAATAATAAGATTTGCAATTCACCTAGAAGCCTTGGGACAATCACAGAAGGAGACCCCTTCTCCATGCACTTGTGCTTGTGGAAGCAGCTCCAACCTAGAGGGACACTGGGGACATTCTTATAGCAGAAGGCATAGGGCCTGGTGAAAAGACAGACCACTCTCTGAATGTGAGACTTAGGTTCAAACTGTGGCACTACCTGCTATCTGTGGTTTCGGCCACTGCTTTGGTGTGCCAGACACAGGGGAGACCCTCAAAGCTCAGCAGCTGATAAAAAAACCTGCTGTGTGCAGAGCCATGTTTTCAGATCTGCTTCTGATAGTGACTAGAAGGCAATCTTCTAGTAGATACATTGAAATGTTTCCTGTCTTCCGGGTGGGCTGAGGGCACCCTTTCTTTTCCATCAAAGCCAGTGACAGATCCAAAGGTTTATTTATTTCCTGGCCTCTCCTCTCTAACAGCCTTCAATTGCACCAAATCCAGGCCACCTTGGGGGTGGAGGCAGTGCTACCCCCTGCACTGCCCAGAGGCCTCTTGGTGGCTGGGCAGCAGCCAAAGACTCTTTGTCCCTTCAGAGCCTGCTACTTCAGGGAAATGGGTGGGGGCTGACAGAAGGGTCAGGCCCTGGGGACTGCAGCCATGGGGTATCTGCCCCAGGAAGGTTCTGGTTGAATTTCACCCACCAGTTGGCCAGGCCTGCCCAGAAGGGCTGGTGAAGAATCTTCAGCACCACAGTGTCCCCAACAGGCTGCAGAATGCTAGATTCCTCAACAGGGATCCAGGGGTCCAGCTTGGAAGGCTTTCCACAAAGGCTCCTATTCTTGGTAACGGACAGGACACCCCTATATCCTCACACTTGTTCACAGTCATGGACCCCAAGCCCCAGCCTTTGACCCCAAGCCTCAGCCCGTGGGCCAAGTAGGGCCCTGCTTCTCTGCCCCTTGGAGGGGAGAGGGCTGCCTCAGATTCTGACCAGGTCAGTGAGCACCTTCAGCTCTAGAGTGGGGTCTCCTCAGCTCTAGTCCTCCAGCTCCTGAACATAAACTACCGGGGAAGGTACATAGTGCCCTCCACTGTCCCCTGCATTGGCAGACACCCATTCATCTGCACAACAGGACCCCACCCCATGGGAGGGGGGACCAACTTCTGCTATGACAGCCCCCACTATTGTTCTATGCGCCAATTCAGCAGTCCTGGGGGAGCTTAGCACAGGGCCCCCCTGTGGCTACCACTTGACAGCCAAGGTCTGCCAGGGGCCTGAGGCTGCCATCATTCCCTGCTCCTCCTCGGACCCCTCTTCGGGAGCCGGAGGGGGTCCCGCGGGCTAAGAGCTCACCTCGTCTTCCGGGAGGGTGGGGAGCGGTTCAAAGTCGTAGAAGTCCAGGTCCTTGACATCCTCCTCGTAGAAGCCCGGGGCGGCAGGGTCCATGGCCTGCATGTTCGCTCTCGGTAGGGACCTGCGCGGTAGGCTGGGTCTCCAGCCGCGTTCGCGCAGCCCTCGCGGGTCCCCTCCCCCGTGTTCTCTCCCCTGCAGGTTCCCTCCCCAGCTGGCCACCGCCTCTGCGCCTGCCTGGCCGTGCTGGGCACCGTCGGCTACGCGCGCCCGGCCGCCATGGCAACGCGCCCGCCGCCTGCCGCAGTGTCGCCAAGGGCGGCGCGGGGGACTCTTGGGGCGGGGCCGGGGGCGGCGCCCTGAGGGCCCGCGGTCACTTCCGCGAGCGACAGGGACCCCTGCAGTCTTCTCAGGCGTCCTCTGTGACGTCGGCCTCTTGGGTGCACCCGGAGCCGCCTGCACTGTCCGTGACCATTCCAGGCGGAGCCACTTTGGGGAGCAAGTAGACGCCTGGGACTGCGCCCACCTGAGTACACGGGGTAGAGGGGCTGGACCCTACCCAGAGAGTACCGGCAGCTGACCTTCTTGGGTTCCCCTTCCCCGTCTCCAGGGGTGAGGCTGCCGCAGCCCAGGTGGCAGCTGATGGCACCAGGGGCTGGCTAGGGGACAGTGGTCTAGGCTTTCCTCAGGGCTGGGGTGAATCTTAGCATTAGCTGGAGCCAGTGGTGGGGCAGAGAGCCAAGATGCATCCTCCACAGCTAGGTCAGGCCACCTTGCCTGTTCCCTAGCTCCTCAAAGGGCTCCTCCAATTCCTTTCCACAGAACGGATGGTACACTCATCATTCTGCCTGGTTCCCCCTATACTTTCCTTAGACAGCAGAGCTGTAGGTCAGATCTCCAGCTCTGCCATGTGACTGGCCCTATTCCCAGAGCCTAGCAAGGCCTGGCACACAGTAGGCACTCAATATATGCTCCTTGCATAAAGGAGACAGGGCTGTGGCAGGTCTGTAGAGTCTGAGGGTGCAATGGGGGCAGGGATATTAATTCCTAACATTGCAACCTTGGGGCAGGTTGATGCGGCCCCCAGCCCTACCTGTCAGGTATAAGGGGCATTCAGGAAGTGGAGAAACCAGGCAGTGAGGCCTTGGCTAGGAGCAGGTGGGTGTTTGGCAGTGTTCTTGCATCCAGCCAGGCAGCCTCACCTTGTTTGAATCATGATCCTAAACTGGGTGCAGTAGCATACCTGTAATCCCAGGTACTTGGGAGAATTGCTTGAGCCCAGAAGCTGGGTAACACAGGAAGATCTTGTCTCAAAACAAACAAACAAACAAACAGACAAACAAACCCAGACAAAACCTGATTTAAGCCCCATTCAAATCGACTGAATCAAAAATTGGGCAGCCTTCCCCCATCCTTGGAGTGTTTGGGAGCTCTGAACAGTAGCCAGAGTTCGGGGGTGGGGAGGGCATGCAGGAAACCTGAGTTGGAGAAAAGGCATCTCACAGTGTGTGGCTTTTTTTTTTTCCAGCTGTACAGGGCTGCTGTCTCCGTGGGCACCACAAGGGATCTGCAGCAGGCCTAGCCCCAGTTTCAGGAAGGGAGACGTGGCAGGCAGACCCTGTTCCAGCCTGTCCTTGGAGCCTACAGAGCTCAGCTGAGCCCCGGGCCTCAGGTCCCCATGCTGCAGGGTTGAGAAGCTGCTACCTTTGCTGAGGAGTGGATGTGGCCTGACACCTCTCATCGGTCCCCAGCCTATGTTTTCTTGGGGGAACCTGGGCCTGATACAGCCACAAAGGGAAGGCTCTGAATTTTGTCAGGTGGCCTCACAGGTGCTTCTGGGCCCCGGGTTTAGGGGGAGGACTTGGACACTAACTGGGAAGGACAGAGTTAATCCCATAACTTAGGGAACAGTCATGTCGCATGTGTTCCAAGGTCTAATGATGCACTATTCACTCTCGAAAAAAAGTGCATTGTAATTTGATTAAAGTTGAACAAATGGGCTGAGTCATCTTTGGGTGTGGCAGCTGAGAACTACAAAGTGGGGATATGCCTTCTTAATCAAATACCATTGTTGCTCCTGCAGAGAGATGAGGCATGGTGAATTGGGGAAGGGCCAATGAGGGCCTCCTAGAGGGCCTGGGCTGGAGGAGTGCCATCTCTTCTTTTACCCGCTGGCTACTTCCTTTGAAAGGTTTGTGGTCTTTGATCTTCCCTGTTCTGTGGGGTGATGTGAAGCTTCTCAAGCTGTATGCTTTATTAGCCTTATTAAGTACACTGGCCTGAATTTATAGCAAGCTTTGCTCCAAGAGGAAACTGTATTGGCCCTCTGTCTTAGTACCTTGTATGTTGTAGATGCTCACTTAATGCTGAATGAGGGCATGATGCTTGAGATGAGAGCATGTTTGCACTGGCCACTTCCCATCTTCCCAGAGTTGATGACACAGAAAGATGGGGGATTGGATTCCAAGTGGTCTCAAGATGTCCACTCCATGACAGACCAGGGAATGGCCTCTCAGATCTGGCCTCTTTGTGCCTCTTCTTGCCTCCTGTGTCCCCATCACGTGCCCAGCTGGCACACATTTCTCCTGAGATATAAGAATTCTATAGAGGCATCCAATTTGCACAGTCAGGCCCCTGGTCAAGGCCATGCTTGGTTGCATTCTGGTCTTTTAATGCTTCTTGGGTGATCTACTCCTTGTCTGCTCTACCACCTTTCCCGAAAGACTCCTTTTTGCATCCACACTTCTCCTGCTCTGCTCTTCCTGGCTTGAGGTGCCTCCCTGCCCAGGAGCCTGATTCTCCTGACCTACCTCTCTCCTCAAGAGGTGCCTGGGCCCCAGCCAGGGACACTTTCTCCTGAGAGCTTGTTTTGTGTTGGTCACTGGACCCTTGCCATATTTTGATGCTGTCAGGATTTGCCTTGTTCTTGGAATCCCCATTTCTTCATCAGATGAGAGCTAGCTTGCTCTAGGAGCATGCAGTCAGTGCTCAGTTTGAGCAGGCAGTTCATGGAGGCAGGTGGAATGGGTGGTTCCAAATCCCGGGCTCTTATTTTGTCAAAAAGAATTTTGACAAGCTGTCAGACCAGTTGTACATTTTGAATTCAATATTTAATAAAAAAAATTAAAACGTAAATAATTGCAAAGAATGTAATTTGTGGTATGCTCTAAATGTTGACATTCTGAAATAAAACTGTTAGTCACTCTGTGAAGCTAAATACCAAAGTATTTCCAATACCCACCATCAACCATTCAAAAATCCATAAGTATATACTTCTCTAAGTCAGAAATCTTCTCTTGAGGTTCATTTTAGGCATCTAGTTTTGCTCAGAATTTCATCCCACTGTGATTTTTTTTTATTCCTGAAAGTGTCTATTGACTCTCTCATCACACCCTACAATAAATACACATGAAAGTTTTAATAAATTGAATATTTAATAACTTAAAAAAATTAAAACTTTTTTTGGTTTTTGTGACCATAAGGCTCGATTTACAGGACGGAAGTAAATGGCAAGGTAACTGACAATGTTTCTGAGAAGTGGGCAGAGACAAATAAGGAGAGTGGGCACCTCTCCTGCTGCTTTGCAGCTGTGACTTGTCCTGGTTATTTGGTCTTGCGCATGCACACTGGGCTGCCTTAGTCTTGTCAGCTTTTGTTATAGGGGCACTGGGGGCAGCTGGAAAGCCTACTCTTCCTTGGGGCTGGAAGCAGGTCCCTGCAGCTGCTAGCCCAGGGAGAAGCTCACTGTTGCCTTGCTGTCAGCCCTTTGACATCTGAACACCACTTCCCAGTACAGCCAGGCTGCTGTAGTCCCTTCCTGTTGACCTGTTGGAAGAAGTTGTCAACCACACAAATGTGTAAGTGAGCCCAAACTGAGACTTGGAGTTTGAGGGTGTCTGTGAGGTTTTCCTCTCCAGCACACATTCTCCGGAGGATGTATACATGCTGGCCTCACCCAAGCTCCTGGCCTTTGTGCTCTTTGCCTTCCCCAGTGGGAAGTTATGCATCTTGAAGTGCTCAGGGATCAAGTGCTTGGGGGAGGTGAGGTCACAAAAGGACAGGTGTTTTTTACTCTGCTACCCCTTGGAAACATGCCCAGAGTGGGAACACTTCAAAGAGCCCAGGACAACCTCTTACACCTGGAGAGCTCTGGAAGACCAGTCTCCCCATTTGAGAATCAGGGTGAGAAACTGCCCAGGAAACTGGGGCTGGGTGCAGTGAGGAAGGGGACAATCCACCTCTCAGCAGCCTGGTCAAAAAGCTGCATCTGTTCCAACACACACACATGCCTGTACATATGCACACACACACACATGCACACGCACACATGCTCATACACTAGCACACACTGTATGATTCTGGTTTTTATAGTTTCCCCCCTAAGTCTATGTCATTACTGCCATTGAGTTTTTCTCCCCTTTTCTTTGGCTATTTCTATGCAATGTAATCATACAGTACATTTTTGTATGTGGCTTTTCTCATGTTTTTGAGATTCAGCCACATTGTCTTGGTAGTAGTAATTTGTTCATTATTGTTATGGAGCCATATTCAATTGCACACGCCACAGTGTATGTTCTCCTCCCACTGTAACAGATGTTGGGTGATTTCTAGATTTGACGTAGATACTGGGGACATATTCGGTTCAAGTTTCTCATTGCATGTGTGCGTATACTTTTGGGGGGTCTGTTTTATGAGTGGAATTGCTGAGTCATTATGCACATGTTAAATTTTATAATTTTTCCCACGTGGATGTCCAATAGATCAGATGCTATTTATTTGAGACATTTCTTTGTCCTCAGGTCTGTCATTTTGATTTTTGTCCAATTAAGTGTACATCATGTATTCCTATCTCCTCACTCTGTTCTTTTCCATTGGTCTTTTCCTCTGTCTTACAGCAGTGTCAACTTGTCTGGACAACTGCAGTGGTCTCCGTATATTAAGTTCATCCTTGTCTCCTCCATTTTTGTTCAAGAATATCTTGGGTACTCTTGGTCTTTTATATTTCTGTACAAATTTTACAATCGGCTTGTTGCATGCCTTAGGAATCTGGTTAGGATTTGGTTGGGATTTCACTGAATCTGCTCATGCACAAATCTTTATAATAAGAGTTTCTCTAGTCCTTGAACATACATGTTCATGTCTTCTGTGTCCACTTGATAATGTTTTGTAGCTTCCTGTGAAGGAATCTTGTGAATCTTTTATTGTAGTTACCATGATATCTGTGGTGTTATGGTAAATTATATCTTTGTAAAAATTATTTTCTGTTTAGTGTTAGACCATAGAAATAAAATAGATTTTTGT